GCGCGCGGCTGAGGGCGCATGCGCTGGGGGAGCGGCGGCGGCCGAGGCGGGAAGGGCGGGAGGGAGCGCGCGCGGCCTCGGGCTCCCTGAGGCGATGGGATGGGATGAGGCGGGAGGGATGGCGGCCGCCGCGGTCGCTGCTCCGCCGCCCACACCAGCAGGTTTCCCTCTCCCGGTCCCCCTCCGGCCGCCTCCCGAGAGCCCGGCGGGCGGTGAACCGCACCGGGTTCCACCAGCCGAGCCGGTGGATCCGTCACCTTCGCCTCACGGGTGGCGCTGACAGGGTCGGTGCGAGGCGCTGCTCCGCAGCCCCGGGGGGACGCGGAAACGCCACAGGTTTGGCTTAAAAACCGCGTCCCGAACAGAGACACTTCCATGGAGATCATCCGAGTTCCACCCGTCACCATGCAATGGTAACTTTCCCGAAATACCTAAATTTTCTTCAACCTTTCCCGCTGACTGAGGTAAGGATTGAGAGGCTGGAGAGTTTCTGCCACTGGAATCAGCTCCATGTGGAGAGGGGACAAGCACAAACAGCCGTTGTGGCTCTTGTGCCCCACACCAGGAGCTCCCCAAGGGGCTGGAGGAGCCCCACACGGTTTCCAAACAGGTTTTGGGGAGTGTCTGGAGGCAAATAACGCTAAATGTGTGTTTATTTCCCAAATCCTAAGCTGTTCTGCCAATATAATGGTATTCACAAAATGGTTGGTGACTCTATGAAGTTCAGTACTTTTTAGGTAGGATTCACATGACCCGTTTGTGGCTTCGCAGCTCGCAAGTCAATTTCACATTTTGCACCTAAATATGTAGCTCCTGATGCTTATTCTGCTGCAATTCAAAGCCACCCAGTTGCTTCTGCTGTGGAGCAGCTGTACCAGTCACTGCCACCTTCTCTGAGCTTCAAAGCTCTTCGTTCCATCAGTACTACACGGAAACTTACAGCAATGGGATTTTCAGCAGATAATAAATAACCATAAAGCCAAGTTACCTTTTCCACGCACTCAAGAGTGACAAAAAATACCATGGCAGAAAGTTACCTCGTGGAGTGGCATCTCCTCTCTTCGTGGTTCACATGTGGCTACGATCCCTTCCTCCTCCTCCTCCCCTGCTTTCTGCTACAGGCGGCAAGAAGTGCTGTGGTGTTTGTTCAGGAATGGAGACAAGTCTTCTGCAGGACCCCCAGAGCTCACTGAGACCCCCAAGACCCCCTGGTTGACCACTACCCATGGCCAAATCTCAGGTCATATTTATATAATCTAAGCTCACTGATAAAAAAAAATCTATTTTCTGCAGAAAGTTTAATTTACTGTTCAAAGGAGCGGTACTACAGATCAGATGGTTTATATAAAGAATGTGAAATAAAACATGAATAAAAGGATAATTCTCTAAACAGACCCACTGATTACAGAAAATTCTGGGGTTTAGCCTAGATCCCAATCTGCCCTGTGCACGTTTACAAAATAAACAGGCGTAAATCAACAAAGTCCAACTGGGTTAAACTCTGCCAGATGAACTCCAACAAGGGAACTGCTGGTTCAGTCAGATGGAGAAATAAGAGAAAAATAGAAAAAAAAAAAAGAAATAGAAAAATTGGCCTAAAAGCACGGTAACATTCTCTAAATTTCTCAAACAACATTCAGCCACAGTCCCGTGCTCCAACAGCTCCTGCGTTTGTCCAAAACGACTGAGGACACCAACTTTCAACAAAACCACTGCACGTGCCCCTTTCAGGAATGCGGCATTTTTCCCTCAGGGATGAGCCAAGGGGTTTAATTTTAAGTCCTGCTTTGAGAGCTACAAAGGGCTGCCGTGTCCCACATTCACCACACTCTGGATGCCAGTCATTTATAGCGTGCACACACACACACACACACACACACTCTCTTTTTGGAAAGCCCAAGCCTTCTTCTCTAAACCCTACTTTAAGTCCCAACACAAAGACCCGATCCGGCCAGATCAAAAGTGTCTCCCAGACAAAGAAACCCCACCCCTATTATTGCCAGTCCGTTCCCAGCTGACCAGCACCCTGCTACTGGGAGAGATGCAAAAGAGATATATTTTTATTTTTTTTTCCATAAACACACTGCACTATTCAAAGGTTTTCATCTTTAAATTTAATTCAAGAAAAAAATGTCTCAAAGTGATTAAGCACGTCTGACTTCCAGCTCCTTTTAACGGCACAAGCCAGTGCAGTAAATTGTAGAAAGCGAGCTCAGTTAGAACTTTAATTAAAAAAAAAAAAAAAAAAAAAAATGGAGAAAACTCTCAAGGTGTGAGGTCCTATTAAAAAAGTGGCTGTTCACTTGTAAACAGAATAAAAGTTTTAAGAACAAAGTTTCATACAACTTAAACAAAACCACTTTTCTTAAGCAGTACAAGAAATGGAACACCAAAAGCAGAAAACAAAAAAAATGGCAGAAGAATCACACAGCATTACTTCCTCAAATGAGAAATTATTTACATTTCTGACATTTTTATTGCTCCCATGGTAGTGTGTTGACAAGTAAATGTAGTGAACTCTCATCGTGGGACGATACTAAACATCTGGTTTTGCACATGGAGTTTTGTACCTATCGAGGAAAGTGTAAGAACTTCTGTAATTTATCAAGACCACACCAAATTGATCAAAAATGTTTTCTGTTTTTAAGTCCCCCATCTCCAGCTGCACCCACACTTCCTCCACTTGCCTCTGCAGGTCTTGGAATGCTTTTTTTTTTTTTCCCCTCCTACAGCAAGACACCTTCCCAGATGCAGGTGGGGAATTGGCAGAGAAGAGCTTTGATGCTCTGCCAATATTCTTCAGACTTCAATACTCTTTAGATACAAAACTTACCAGATACAAACACAAATATTTCCCAGGTAAAAACCAGAAAGAGCGTCAACATGTTTATATGAAAAATTGAATTTGGTAGACAGTAACTGCTCCTAAAAATCTGCTGCAAACTCCCACTGCTGATAGCTCCCAGTTCCCTCTTCTCCTTACACCCCACAACGTCTCCTCTTCTGATGAACCCCTCCAGGCACCTTCTACACCACTTCCACTGCACTTTGCTAACATTAATCTCTCTTACATTGCCACAAATTCTTTCTCCAACTAACAAGTATCCTCCATAAATAGGTTTACCAATTGATGCTGACTATTTATTATCAAAAAATGAGATTTTTTTTCAGTCTTGTGAGATATAATGACCTGCTGAATGGTTTACTATTAAAGCAAAAGATAGCCCAGGCCAAAAAGAGCCCGTAGGCAGAAGAGAGTGCAGAGAGTTCACAGCAGTACTTACAGCTGCCGGATTTCAAGTGAGCTGTGGGACCCGTGTCTTTCAGATGCAAATATAATACTGCGTCCTGGTTTTGCATTTTAATGCAAATTTATCTACTTATTAAAACATGGAGCTTACTGTAAATGGCAGGTTTGGCTCTTGTACTCTTTACTAGTTGCTTTATGGCCACATGTTTAAACGTCTATTAAAACACAAAAAGAGACTCTTTCATGGTTTGAAGACTAAGTACAACTAACAATTACAGAGAAAAGTAAAATGTATAGAATTTACATACTTAAAATGTAAACTTTAATATTCTGTGCTTAAAGTCCCTGGCGGTGCCCAGGAGGGACCCAGGGGCAGAGAATCTGCTGCAGGCCCCGGGGAAGGGACAGGGGGTGAGGGTGGTCTCCTTCTGCCTTGGCTCTGAGGTCACATTGCAGCCCTGAGGGACCGGGGGCTCCCGGAGCTCAGGGTGCTCTCTGGGGATGGCACAGCACTTCCTGGGCACGAGACACACCGGGGAAACTCTGACCTGCCTGCCATGAGGTCAGCCCAGGCTGAGGAGGATTCCTGATAGCAGCGAGACTGAAGAGCGCTCAGCGTTCACCGCCGGCAGCTCCTAGAGCTCTCATTTGTCTTGCCTGTTCTCTCAGTTGGAAAAGAACAGTTTGAAAACAGAGTCACACGAAGAAGAAAATAAGAACCCGCTGAGATTTCTTGGGTTTCTTACACACACACCAAAAAAAAAAGAAAAGAAAATGACTAGCAAAGTTCTGGCATGACAGTAAGAAACTTCCATTGTTCCTTTAATTAAGCTCATCTCCCTTCATTGACTCCAGAAACTTAGTTGTAAGGAAAATACATAGAATTGGGTGTGTTTTTTCAGTTTTGGTTTACACCGCATTTTTCTGCCATTAAGTATTTTCCCTGCTTCCAGTTAACACTCATCCTAAAGTGCATCCTAAAGAATGCATCCTAAAGAATGTAAATTGGGAGAGGAGCCTTTGCTTGGTTCTGCAACAGAAATCCGAGTTGCGAGGTGTAGCTCACGTTAAATTCCAACAACACAGGAGTTTTTTATTCACTAATGCAATGACACAGTTGTCACCCATCGACCCCTCAAGAGAGACCTCTGCACTAAGAATATTCCAGCGTCTGAAGCACAGGTCTGTGATTAGAAATTACTGCAAGTGCTGGAGCCTGACACTCCTCAGTTGGACAGTAACAACAGCACAAAACTGGATTTGAATTAACAACTTGCATAAAACCGGCCTTCTGTAAACACCACATACAAGAAATCTGGCCCACTACGGTTAGTAGAATGCAATGGTCTCACAAATCCTGTCCTTTAATACAATATTGCATACTGAGAAGATATAAATACATTCAGAGGAAATCCCAAGTCACCCTGAAACTCAAAAAGCAACTGGGGATGATGTCACAAGGAGTCAAGTTGCTGTGAAGAAATGCCTGGACACTTCCTATGGTCTCACAACTCACAGATACTCACTCATCTGCTGGTTTTTCTCCAATTTCTTATTTCTAGTGGGGAAAGGGAGGGAACTTGCATCAATTTTCATTTGCTTACTCCTACCCAGTGGTCTCTCTTAGGCCAGCCATTACAGGAAGTTTTTCTACAATTACGTCGCTTCCTGAGATCAGGCAAACAGGGAAGAATCCAAAAACGCCCACGAATTCCACAAGGGCACGTGTGGCTCTTCAGACTGTGCCTCGACACCAGAACACGTGTGTGGACCCTTTCAACTCATCCACTTCCTCCCACCAGCATATTTTGAAACACTATTCTGATTTAGATGAATTTTATTTCCCCTAGGAAGGATGCTGTGGCACCTCGCTGTGAAGATGTTGCAGCAGGATCAACACAAAGCTGTTACCTCAGCTTCGATTTGGCCCTTTCAAATTTTTCTCCTTAGTAGAAAGTCTCAAATTCAAAAACATTTTTTTTTTTTCTTTACTTAAAACCAAAAGAAAACTCAACACCCACAACATTCCTAACTGCAAAAGAGGCTTTAGGATATTTTGCTAATAGCAGCTGCCCCACAAACATAACTTTTTCAAAGGTGAACAGTTTTTAAGCTTCCTATTTCAGGCGACACAAACAATACCTGAAATACTATTTTTTTTAAAAAAAAAAAAACAAACCCAAAACGAACCCAGAAATGCTATGCATTTTTCATCCATTTACTAAACAAAGTGCAACTGAGCCCTACACATCCCATAGTATGTACAAACTCCTTATGGCTTCACCATAACCCAGGCTGGGAACGGGGCTGTACAAGCGGAAGGAGCCTCGCAAATGTCATGAACAAAAGGCTGTGGGGGCGTTGGCAATAGGATAAGAGCTATAGTACATTCTGTAAACCTTGGCATACCACACTTTACGTTATGCAAAGAGTCAATATTTACAAATCCGTGGTGGGTAAAATAATTAACCCCCTCATGTAAATGATGATTTTGCAAAGTGCAGGACAAAACCAGTGCTGTTGATTGCAAGTCCTATGCAGGCAACTTCTACTAAAAAATCATTACTACTAGACGCTTACCTGGACGTTTATACTGAGGGATTATAGGATTGCAACATTTAGAATGAAATATAGTGTGACACAACATCAGGATGCAGGTTTGAGGACAGCAAATATCGAACTGAATAAGGCAGCATGCTCAGAACAAGTTGAAGCAGCACTGATGTTAGATCCCTAGTGGCAACTATATCAGTTATTGTCAACGTTAAAAATTCAGAGTGCAACATAGAAGCCTCGTTTAACATAAAAAAATGTGCAAATTGTTCTCTTCTTAACAAAAGAAAGTAACATAGCAAGGAAGATATTCTACTGAAGAACGTTTTTAAGTCACAGCAAAGTAGACCATCTTCTTTCCAAAATCATCTACAAGGCACTAAGGGTAGAAAATGACAGGTAACATGAAAGACCAAACGCTCTTCCTCAGTCGGGTCGAAATATGGGATATTTTGGTAAGAACTCTATTAATATTACCTGTTGAAGAAGGGAAAAGACAAGAACAGAACACAGTAACCAAAAAGTTCAAACCTTCAGCACAATTACCAAGCAACATTCACTAGTACATAAGACTACACGTATCTGAGAGATTCTGTATGGAGGGAACGTTTCCCAGAGTAACAAAGCAGAGATTTCAGTAAGTTTGAAATACAGGGATTCTGGATGCTTGACTTTTTTGGGGTGAACATCTCTTTTCTTCAAGCTCACACAATTTTCACAGTTATACATCAAAGTGGGTGGGGGAGTAGTAGGACCCCAGAAATATTTCAAATTCTGCTTCCCTAAGTGGAATGTGTCTCTCAGTTAAAACTTTATGAGATTCAGAGAGATTTTTTTTGGGGGGGGGGGTAGGTGACAGTCCAGTAAATTAAGGATTTTCTCTATAAAAATCATAGTTATGTTGAATACCAAATAAATTCCAGAAGTAATACTTACATATTCCATCATATTGCTAGTTTCGCATTTCCTTTTACTCAGCTTCCAGTGCAAACCAAGCTAAGAAAATAATTAGCAAAGGATTAATGCATAGCACAGCATTGTTTTGATGAGTAAAGTATCAAGTATTAGCAATATCTAATTATTAGCATGTGGAACACTTCAGACACAGGTTTAAGATCAGTATAAAGTATGGAATTATAACAAGACTGTAAAATCCCCACATGCAAAAAAAGTCTTACTACTCTTTAAGCTGAAAAAAACAAAGCACTCAAACTTTTCTTACCTTATGATATAGTCTGTTATTTTCCCATTCTAGTAACTTCTGAATTGATCTTCTAGTCTAAAAAGTAAGTCAAAACTGTATTATAAACGGTTCAGCAGCCAGCCTCGTCCACAAGAATCATACTGTTGCATTTCTGGCTTAAGATTAACTTAAAATAAGTTAGTTTTTATACAAGTAGAACCAAGCAAAAGAGATATTACAAATGGAAATCCTACCACTTCAACTCCCCATTCCTCCATATCAGACCTTCTTCAGAAAGAAGAAGGAAACACCCAGGGTTGGTTTTTTTTGTTAACTCAGGACTGCAACTTCCCCAGAATTCATTTACTGAGTATGAGATCCTTTTGAATTTAGTGTTTTTGCCTACCATAAGCCAAGGCAACAAAACAGAGTCTCCCACGTTCTCCTGGGCAAACACTGCACTCACTGCTGGGGATCTGCTGACCACACGTAATTTACATACATCCAATTTCCAGGGTTTGCTAATGGAATTGTTGTCTGAATCCTGAAAAATAATCTCAGCACCAGAGAACTCCAGCACACAACCAACAGTGCCTGGATTTTCAACTCTTGAATACCAAAGTGCATGTGATAGTCGTGTTCTGCTCTTCCCAGAATTATGAGAGAGAAGATTTTTGGAGTTTCAGTGATTTTTAAGGTCATAACAAGACCACTGGGGAGATCTATTCTAGTTGCTCCCTGGTGTGCCACAGAATTCCACCCAGCAGTTTCTTTGCTAAAGCTACTAACGGTGGGTGAGCTACACCATCTCAGCACCACCACGGACTGGTGGATGGGTAGCTGGCCACGAGGCAGCAATGTACAGTGGCAGCCCAGAAAGCCCCCCGCACCCTGGGCTGCTTCCCCAGCAGCGTGGGCAGCAAGGCCGGGGGGGCAGATTCTGCCCCTCTGCTCCGCTCTGGGGAGACACCCCCCCAGTGCTGCCTCCAGCCCTGGGGCCACCAGCAGTAGGAGGACATGGACCTGTTGGAGCAGTTTCAAAACTGCAAATATTCCACCTGCGTATCTCAAGCGTGTTCCTCTGAGAGGGTTTCTAAAAGGCCATTAAAATGAGCTAAAACAAGTCCCATCACTTCTTAGTGATAGCGGTTTCAGCGATTACCAGCTCAACAAGTTCACATATTATGTCTTCAGTACAGTTCTTTTTCCTTTGAACCACAACCTCAACCCCAGTCAATGCAACCCATTTTCTTGAGCGAGTTGGAAAGTTTGGCAAAACATTTCTGTTTTATTTTCCTCTGAAAAACAACGCGTATTCCTTGGTTTTCCTTTCAGTTTGTTTTATTAAAAATCGCAATATCCAGAAGTATTACTTTTTAACGAATTTTTACTGAAGATCTTTTCCTGTAATTCAATTGTCAAGCGTGAAGCTTTTTTTCTTAGTGCACCTACAGACTATTTACATTTGTGGATAATAAGATTTTATGGCTACAAGTCTTATAAACTCTGCAGCTGCAAAGGATAGCATTACACTGTACCCATTTATGTATTTCCTAAACATTTACTGCTGTGATAAATCAATTCTACGCATAAATCATTGAGGTAATTAGCATCATGTTGACTTGATACTGCTACAGTGCTTTTCAGAATTACTACTTTGGACCCGATTACAAGAATTGTCAACTTTCTGTTGAAAACAAATAAATAAATGCAGGTCTTTAAACTTCCTGAATAGAAAATGAATTTGTGTTTGTTCATAACAGAAACAGCACAGTAAAATATGTCAAATAAGCAAGAGCTCAGAGATGTTATGGTAACTACTACATATAAAAAAGTGATTTTTAATTTTAAAAAAAATATATATTTGGGG